CAACCCCTGGAGGGATGTAAAGGCCTACCAACCCCTGGAGGGATGTAAAGGCCTACCAACCCCTGGAGGGATGTAAAGGCCTACCAACCCCTGGAGGGATGTAAAGGCCTACCAACCCCTAGAGGGATGTAAAGGCCTACCAACCCCTGGAGGGATGTAAAGGCCTACCAACCCCTAGAGGGATGTAAAGGCCTACCAACCCCTGGAGGGATGTAAAGGCCTACCAACCCCTGGAGGGATGTAAAGGCCTACCAACCCCTGGAGGGATGATGTAATGGACCCGACATCCTGTGAAGCGCTCTTTAAACTGTGCTAGTTAATATTAAATAGCAAATATGCTTTAATTTATAACTTTTGTTTAGCTAAGTTTTTTAATGTATTATCAACACCTGATTTATAATATGCAGTTTGAAGCCATAATATAATTTACTGCGACCTTCAAGTTAAAAACATTTTCGTTTAATATCGTATTGAATTCAAGATTAGCATCATTTTTAATATAAGTTCTTTATTTGTTTCAGACGTAAACAATTTAGTACTAATTTTGTTATCATAATTAACTGTTTTAAACAAGAGGTAATCTATTTTACATAGACGTTTAAATAGCATAACAAGTGTTAAGTGTACCATGTATATTTCACCTTACCGATTGGAATAAATATATAAATATATATATATATATATATATATATATATATATATATATATATATATATATATATATATATATATATATACTTTATGTGCGGGGTATACTCTGCATATACAATATTCTTAGTAAGACTTATCAACCTCTGGAGGGGTTGTCAAGGGCTATCAACCTCGGGAGGGTTATTAGGGCCTATCAACCTCTGTAGGGTTATTAAGGCCTGTCAACCTATGGAGGGTTATTATTATATAATAATAACTGGGTCTGGGACTGCTGACCCAGTCAGCAGGTCCTTGTGACTCAGTCAGCAGGTCCTTGTGACTCAGTCAACAGGTTCTTGTGAAAAGACCCGGGCCGTCCAAGAGACCTGCTCCACCACATGTATAGTCACATCATAACATGACCACCAAAACTAAGCTGCACAATCTAAGTGGAGAAAAACAAGCCCCAAAAGGGTTGGAGAACAAGACAATGTTCCTCATGACTAACACTTCCTCTTACCAACTCTTGGCTTAATATCGATAATTAGCTTGACAAGCAGATCTGCTTCACTTTCACATGGGGACAATTTCATCATTGTCTAGCTAATATCTTGTGACTCATCTCCCAGCCTCAGATCCCAGCAACATTACAAAAGCCAGTCTTATAAGTTTTGTAAGCGTGTATATATCATGATCTACTGGTGATCAATATATCTTTTTCAATCATGGGAAAATTTGGTTTTTGAAACATCGGATTTTGTATTTTTGTTTTGTAAATGTGTGATATGTTTGGCGAAGGAGAGGTGGATGAGAGAGCTAATGGGCGTCTCTGCCTGGCTCCTAGTACACTACCTCGGTGGTGCAGTGTACACTACCACTACCTCGGGGGTCCAGTACACACTACCACTACCTCAGTGGTCCAGTACACACTACCACTACCTCAGTGGTCCAGTACACACTACCACTACCTCAGTGGTCCAGTACACACTACCACTACCTCGGTGGTCCAGTACACACTACCACTACCTCAGTGGTCCAGTACACATTACCACTACCTCAGTGGTCCAGTACACACTACCACTACCTCAGTGGTCCAGTACACACTACCACTACCTCAGTGGTCCAGTACACACTACCACTACCTCAGTGGTCCAGTACACACTACCACTACCTCAGTGGTCCAGTACACACTACCACTACCTCAGTGGTCCAGTACACACTACCACTACCTCAGTGGTCCAGTACACACTACCACTACCTCAGTGGTCCAGTACACATTACCACTACCTCCACTGCCCTAGTCTTCCACCCAGAACATGGGGGGACTGTGCTCTGGGTGACTGTTATCATGGGGGGGGGGATTGTTATACAATGAAACATGGTTATTTGAACCAACGTGATACTAGCTTACCATGGAACAGAGACCCTAACCACTCCCTGACAGAACAAACAGCGGACCTCGGTAGCCACACTCCCGCTACCGTCGGTCGACCACCAATGGACACTGGAGTGCTTGCAGTTGTTTAGATCACCCTGGTAAGCGTATGGTTCTGGGAGAGGGGGTTCAGCGTCACCTTTATTCAGGTGTACGGCTCACACTGTTTAGTTGTCATGTACACACACCCGCTCTTGAGCCGCCGTGACTCCCCGCACTCTCCTTACTGTGGGATGATCTCTCAATCACCCTCAGTTATAGTCCACTATCACCCAAGTTACGACCGTGTGTTTCTCTCTAGCCAGGACGCCCCACCAGGACAAGAGCAAAAACTAACAGATATAACATTTAAAACATAAGAACATACACAATATACATACGGGAATAGTCATAAAACAATACAACCTCTTAGGCTACTACCAACTGATAACACTCCATTATCGCCTTATGTCTCCAACCTATAACTGTATCAGGCTGCGGCTTAAACTTCAGCCTACAACCTTCTGCTCCCTTCACTGCTTTACGTTGCAATATTTGGCACATAAGATATTCATATATTTCATACTCCACAAAAGCATCAATCTCTCACCTTGCACTGCGCCTTTCATGCCAAAACACAATCAAACACTCCCTTAAACATCAACGTGTCCATAAGATCCTCTGTTCCATTACTCGAGGTTTCCCCCCCCCTAGTAAAATCATCAATCTGGGTCCTTAAAATATCACGCAAGGTACTCCTGCAGTTCTTCCAATCAACTGCATATGAAGTCCTCCTTGAATGTCAGTGAAGCTCCCTCACACGGCTTCACACAAAACACGTGTAGCTCCCCACACACACCTTGAAGGTTCACTGTGTCACTGGAGTTCCACTCCTCAACTCCAAGTCCTGCACCACCTTGTAGTTCAGCGTATATTCCTCCTCCGGTACGAAGTTCTCTCACTAACTTCTCCCACACAAACGTTGCAGTTCTCCCATACAAACGTTGCAGTTCTCCCACACAAACGTTGCAGTTCTCCCACACAAACGTTGCAGTTCTCACATACAAACGTTGCAGTTCTCCCTCACAAACGTTGCAGTTCTCCCACACAAACGTTGCAGTTCTCACATACAAACGTTGCAGTTCTCCCTCACAAACGTTGCAGTTCTCCCTCACAAACGTTGCAGTTCTCCCACACAAACGTTGCAGTTCTCCCACACAAACGTTGCAGTTCTCCCTCACAAACGTTGCAGTTCTCCCATACAAACGTTGCAGTTCTCACATACAAACGTTGCAGTTCTCCCACACAAACGTTGCAGTTCTCCCACACAAACGTTGCAGTTCTCCCTCACAAACGTTGCAGTTCTCCCACACAAACGTTGCAGTTCTCCCACACAAACGTTGCAGTTCTCCCACACAAACGTTGCAGTTCTCCCACACAAGCTGCATAATTCGTAGCTCGAGGGCGTTCAACTCCGGCCCTCCAAGATGGCGTCCTCTACGATGTCCAACAAAGTTTCTTTAAGACTGCGTCACAGTTCTTCTGCTCCTGACTTGAGTACACGGAGTCGCCCGGCAGGCTCCACAACAGAAACGCCTGCCTACTTCCTTCCTCTTGAAGAAGCAACACAATTAGAGTTCCAGAAAGGCGCGACCGACACACTTTCAGGTCGCCTCTAATTTATCAAAATCACAGAGAAATGGTGTACGAAGTTCCCTTATAGCTTCCTCACACTTGGCATCAAGTTGCCTTTACTTGAGGATTTACTGGGTTCGATCCCGGGCGCCGGCGAGAAACAATGGGCAGAGTTTCTTTCACCCTATGCCCCTGTTACCTAGCAGTAAAATAGGTACTTGGGTGTTAGTCAGCTGTCACGGGCTGCTTCCTGGGGGTGGAGGCCTGGTCGAGGACCGGGCCGCGAGGACACTAAAAAGCCCCGAAATCATCTCAAGATAATCTTAAGATACTTCAGCACTTACACGGGGCACTATATCCTTCCCCCAGGAGAACACAACAAACAAACTATCTCTGACGACTGCAGTAGCTCAAGTGAGGTCACGACCTCCTGCTAGCGTCACTTCATGCCACCAAAATATCTACATCTCATTTCATGTCACTTATTTAAATGCTCATCCTCTGCTCATATTTTTAAATTATTCACTAACGATTATTATTATATATTTAATTTATACATCTTTCCTTTGACCTCTCAATCAGGTCCGGAAGGCAGAATGACTCTCACAAAGTAAGACTCGTTCCACCCAGGCTGCGTGGGGGTCGTATCACTGTGTTCTGGTTGACTGTGTTCTGGTTGACTGTGTTCTGGTTGACTGTGTTCTGCTTGACTGTGTTCTGCTTGACTGTGTTCTGCTTGACTGTGTTCTAAGTGACTGTCACAGTAACCATGGCTTGACACGCTTCTTCCCACTTCTCAAGAGCCACACTTCCTGTGTAAATAAGCAAAAGCGTCCAAGGGTGGTTTTATAACGCTACAGGGAGGCAAAAGTCTATTTTGTTATTATTATTTCGGTTTTAAGTATCAGTTAAGGTGGAGGTAAAGCCTAGCCTCCTGGCAAAGATGGCTACCAGCTAAGGTGGAGTTGTCCGTCGAGAATCACAAAGGGGCAGTGGCACCGAAATTCCCGGATGGAGGAAAGGCGATTGGTCAAACACTGGCAGGAGTGACCAATGAGGATGTGACCTGAGGTCACGTGACGTGACGGGAGCACCTGAGTGGCGGTTTTAACCGCGGCAGGCGCCAGTACACTCTATACCGTCATGCGTAGAGGATTCGCCGATTGCAACTGCAACAAATCGACCATCTTCACGAGATTATAACGTCTTAGAAGGACATATTCAAGAGTAACCTTATGGGGCGACACTGCAAAGCTTCCTGGGAACGTTTACAGGACAGGATCTGCAGGTTGTAGTCAAGAGTACGTCAGATTCACGACGATCACCATGAATCTGGGCGTACTCTGAATGTGTGTTTGGAGCCTGGGAGCAGGAACTGTCTTCCCCATTCTCTGTGCAACCTGGCGAGAGAACGGTGCAATCCCTGTCGACGCTCAGTGTCATCAAGAAAGTACAGATCAGCTGTGTGGACAGCAGGCAGCACCCCGGCCATCCGCAGGAAGCCAATGACCAGTGGGCCAGTCTGGGCGCTCCGGGAGTCTGGAACTGCAAGAAGGATCAGAAGTTTCAATTAAACTGCAGTTGTGAGGAGTTGAGGGCCCTGGGTGAGGGCCCAGAGTGAGCGGCCCAGGGTGAAGGGCCCAGAGTGAGGGCCCAGGGTGAGGGCCCAGAGTGAGGGGCCCAGGGTGAAGTGAAGAGCACCGCGGAGAGTTGGTGTCCTCACCTGACCTTCGGGACTCGGCCCAGGAAGTAGAGAAATTGTGTGACACAGCTGCCAGCACAGAGGCAACTTTGAGTGAATGTGTGAAGGAATGTTTCTCCAAGTTGTCTCACACTAACACAACATACAACTGGCGAACATACAGAGTTTACAAGGCAATAATATTACATTTAATATATTATTCACACTTTGCACGTTGTTTTTTTCTCTTTTTTTTGAGATATATACAAGAGTTGTTACATTCTTGTACAGCCACTAGTACGCGTAGCGTTTCGGGCAGATCCCTGGAATACGATCCCCGCCGCGAAGAATCGTTTTTTCATCCAAGTACACATTTAACTGTTGCGTTAAACAGAGGCTACAGTTAAGGATTTGCGCCCAGTAAATCCTCCCCGGTCAGGATACGAACCCATGACAAAGCGCTCGCGGAACGCCAGGCGAGTGTCTTACCACTACACCACGGAGACTGGTAGGTTCCCTTCCAGACATGTTATGGTTAATAATATCTGAACAAGAGTTTAGTCCTCGCTGGTACTACTAGTACAGGTTCGGGTAAAATCCAAGATTACTCAACATATCCCAATCCTGGTCTTCAAATACCTGCAACTTCATAAAGTTATCCATCTTAATGTGTTAAGATCTCTCTCATCTTAATCCTTTGTAATCACTATTTCTCTTAAATTGTAGATAATTATTTTTTCCTTGTGATTATAGACAAGGGATAGCCTGTTGTTCTGTATACAACCCATGCGACATTTTGTCTGCACATCGTAACCTAAGACATCTTTACCTTACCTTTTTCGTATATATGTTTTCTTTAATAATAGCTGGCAAAGTTTAGAATTCCAAGAATTCTATGTCTTACTTCGTTCCCTCTTAATTTATGAGGAGGTCTGTGTCCACCCTCTTGGAGGTCTGTGTCCACCCACTTGGAGGTCTGTGTCCACCCTCTTGGAAGTCTGTGTCCACCCTCTTGGAGGTCTGTGTCCACCCTCTTGGAGGTCTGTGTCCACCCACTTGGAGGTCTGTGTCCACCCTCTTGGAGGTCTGTGTCCACCCACTTGGAGGTCTGTGTCCACCCACTTGGAGGTCTGTGTCCACCCTCTTGGAGGTCTGTGTCCACCCACTTGGAGGTCTGTGTCCACCCACTTGGAGGTCTGTGTCCACCCTCTTAGAGGTCTGTGTCCACCCACTTGGAGGTCTGTGTCCACCCTCTTGGAGGTCTGTGTCCACCCTCTTGGAGGTCTGAGTCCACCCTCTTGGAGGGCTGTGTCCACTCTCTTGTCTTCACACACACACTCCCAGTACCACTTACCTTTATGTCTTCCCTTTTCTAAGGTAAGTATATTGTTTACCTAAACCCAAAACCCTTCCATAGCCCATGTTAAATTTGCCTTGATTACTCATCTTATCAGTTACAAGATATGTTGTATATACATTTTGAATATTCATGTCTGTCAATGAACGTTTCATATGTGTTTGATAAATACAATTTATATGTTTTCAAAGGATATTTGTTAAAAATAGGTGCTTAGGCACTTTGTGCATTTTAACATATTCACTAATACCGGCTACTCGCCCTAACTACCCGCCCTAACTACCCGCCCTAACTACCCGCCCTAACTAACCCCCCCCCCCTGGCTACCTCCAGCCTTCTGAGAGCCTTGTAATGTTAATTAATTAACTCTCTCATACGTATACAAATTAGATGAATTGAATGAAGAATGATAGGAATACAGCAATAAAAGAATGACGTCACGAGTGTATGTAATGGCCTGTAATGTGACCATTACAGCTGCATTATGTATTCAGGAGTCGCATACCTGCAGCTGTAGTTATAAGCAATTGGTGCTGCTGGCTTTGTTAGCTTCTAATGAGAAATAATTGCTGGTAATCAAGGCAATTAGCACTAATGTCCCAGCTACTTGACAATGTGGCTAATGATGTCTTGTGTTGTGTGTGTTGCTGTGTTGTGCGTGATGCTGTGTTGTGCGTGATGCTGTGTTGTGTGTGTTACTGTGTTGTGTGTGTTGCTGTGTTGTTGTGTTGCTGTGTGTTGCTGTGTTGTGTGTGTTGCTGTGATGTGTGTGTTGCTGTGTTGTGTGTGTTGCTGTGTTGTGTGTGTTCCTGTGTTGTGCGTGATGCTGTGTTGTGTGTGTTACTGTGTTGTGTGTGTTGCTGTGTTGTGTGTGTTGTTGTGTTGCTGTGTTGTGTGTGTTGCTGTGTTGTGTGTGTTGCTGTGTTGTGCGTGATGCTGTGTTGTGTGTGTTACTGTGTTGTGTGTGTTGCTGTGTTGTGTGTGTTGTTGTGTTGCTGTGTTGTGTGTGTTGCTATGTTGTGTGTGTTGCTGTGATGTGTGTGTTGCTGTGTTGTGTGTGTTGCTGTGTTGTGTGTGTTCCTGTGGTGTGCGTGATGCTGTGTTGTGTGTGTTACTGTGTTGTGTGTGTTGCTGTGTTGTGTGTGTTGTTGTGTTGCTGTGTGTTGCTGTGTTGTGTGTGTTGCTGTGTTGTGTGTGTTGCTGTGTTGTGTGTGATGCTGTGTTGTGGGTTTTGCTGTGTTGGTGTGTTGCTGTGTTGTGTGTGTTGCTGTGTTGCTGTGTTGTGTGTGATGCTGTGTTGTGTGTGTTGCTGTGTTGTGTGTGTTGCTGTGTTGTGTGTGATGCTGTGTTGTGTGTGTTGCTGTGTTGTGTGTGTTGCTGTGTTGCTGTGTTGTGTGTGTTGTTGTGTTGTGTGTGTTGCTGTGTTGTGTGTTGCTGTATTGTGCGTGATGCTGTGTTGTGTGTGTTGGTGTGTTGTGTGTGATGCTGTGTTGTGTGTGTTGCTGTGTTGTGCGTGATGCTGTGTTGTGTGTGTTGCTGTGTTGTGTGTGATGCTGTGTTGTGTGTGTTGCTGTGTCTTGTGTAGCTGTTTTGTGTGTGTTGCTGTGTTCTGTGTGTTGCTGTGTTGCTGTGTTGTGTGTGTTGCTGTGTTGTGTGTGTTGCTGTGTTGTGCGTGATGCTGTGTTGTGTGTGTTGCTGTGTTGTGTGTGTTGCTGTGTTGTGTGTATTGCTGTGTTGTGCGTGATGCTGTGTTGTGTGTGTTGCTGGGTTGTGTGTGTTGCTGTGTTGTGTGTGTTGCTGTGTTGTGCGTGATGCTGTGTTGTGTGTGTTGCTGTGTTGTGTGTGTTGCTGTGTTGTGTGTGTTGCTGTGTTGTGTGTGTTGCAGTGTTGTGTGTGTTGCTGTGTTGTGTGTGTTGCTGTGTTGTGTGTGTTGCTGTGTTGTGTGTGTTGCTGTGTTGTGTGTGTTGCAGTGTTGTGTGTGTTGCTGTGTTGTGTAAGTTGCTGTGTTGTGTGTGTTGCTGTGTTGTGTGTGTTGCTGTGTTGTGTGTGTTGCTGTGTTGTGTGTGTTGCAGTGTTGTGTGTGTTGCTGTGTTGTGTAAGTTGCTGTGTTGTGTGCATTCAATAATGGCTTACATGTGAAATTTGCATAATAAAACATTGAAAGAAGATCAGGTGTGCGTAATACAAACAACTCGGCATATATGCACCAAAAAAAAAAATTCATCATAATAGGTGAAAATCATGGTAACAATTCTTTGATTAAACCAGAGTATTAAGAACATGTGTATGTCTACTGATCAGATATGAACAATACAACTCAAGGTATTGCCTAAACAAAATTATTAACATGTGTCAATGGCATGTGCTTGAAAACCATACAAAATTAAACAATTATTACATTAATGGAACAAAGTTCTGACCTAACAACCACAATTGAATTTCAAGATAGATAATTTTTTTTTTTTTTTTTTCGAAATATACAATATATTTACAAGACCAATGTACAATATATATAATGTGCAATATATTTACAAGCATATACAAGACCTGGATCAAGAAGACTAACATCTGCGTGATAGCAGTCAGGATTCACTGGCCACAATGTGGTTGCTAGAACAATAATAACTCTTATGACAAGCACTGTAAAAATACAAATGGTAGTAGACTTGACAATGGCATCTAATTCATAACAAAATAAAGTTGAGAAAAACTATACATTATATATAATGGTAATAATAAGACACATGTGGTAGAAATACTGCAAATTACTTTTTTTTTTTCAAAACAAACAGAATAACTGTAGAGTGCACTCAATTATAAATTCTGCGGATATCTACACCTAGCTCATCCAGAGCACTATACAACTCTGGCTCTGACTGAAGGTCCGGAACGGATGAAACTTCATGTGACAAACTATCATCTTGAGAGATATCCTCGTTAACATCTAGCCAATGGACGTGTGGTGAGTGCACGGTTGAAACGAGAGGTCTAGATCTAAGATTATAATTGCTAGTATGGGGTTGCTGAACATCAAGTGGTCTGTCAACCACAGAAGGTGGTGTCCGAGTAGGAGTATCTGTCTGGGTAAGTTCATTGTCATCTTCCTCATCAGTCTCGTCAACAGTCATTTTAGCTAACTTCATGTGGTCTAAATGCTCATTTATATACTCTCCTGTTAACAAGTTCTTAAGTCTGTATTTGTTACCTTTAATAAGCTCGATTACCTTATATGGACCCAAAAATTTCTTAGTTAACTTGTACATAGGACCAGACCTGTGTTGGTTAAGTATCATTACTACAGATCCAATAGTTATTTTATTGGGTTTAGCTCGTGCATTCCTTGCTAGAGTGAACTCGGCTGTTGCTTTGGACAGTTGTTCTCGTATTTTCTTGAATACTAATTGCATTTGTCTACGCTTCACTTGAACAAAATCATCTACGTTATATAAGGGAGTAGGAGGTACGTTAATCAATTCATTAGGGAGGATCTTATCTGTACCATAAAGA